GAGGAATTTAGGAACCTACAATCTGGTGTGTGTGTGTGTGTGTGTGTGTGTGTGTGTGTGTGTGTGTGTGTGTGTGTGGTTTTTTCTGCTACAGAGCGAGGACATGGTGAATTAGGATGATATAGAGTCAATAAATACTTTGTGAGAAAAAAAAACTAAATACAATTTTTTCTTGTTGTCTGCTTTAGAGGAAGTTATGAGAAGATAAGTTTATTTTTCTATTTAAACATAAAAACAGCATTTTAATAACAGCTAAAGGTGACATAGATACTTTATTGTGGTATAGTATTTAAATGTATGCCTGAGAAACACATAATATTGCCCGTTTAAAAGTTACATAAAGTTGACCAGCTCAGATTTTAAACAATTTTAACCCATGAAATCTGATAATGTTAATCCATTCAACAAGCTAAGTACTTTGATTGAAGCAAAGATGCCGCTGTTCTGAATTTCACAATAAACCTGTCCCACAAATAAACCCACAAGAACCTTTTACTAGCAAAAAGGTAAGAGGTTTCAAGCATCTGAAGATAAAATTAGAAATAAGTCCACCGCTCTTCTCCTYGTCCTCTCCCCCTCCTGCCTGCTCTTTTATCCGCGGCAGACCCCACCCCCGCGCGCACGTGACATACACGGATTTTAAACGTGAAGTTTTATAACATCCACACTCGCGAGGTGGATGCGCCCTGCGCGTGTATCCAAAGCTTTTGCTGCCCTGCTGTTCTTGTCGGAGAGGGGTCTGTGGGTCAGGGAGGGGTCTGTGGGTCAGGGAGGGGTCTGTGGGTCAGGGTCATCTGAGGAGGAAGCTGATGAAGGGAGTTGCGCACGGGAACTTTTATTATAATATCTGACAGTGATCATTACACAGTGTGGCTATAATTCCTCACTTCACCATCTGTGTCACAGTTTCACGTCTCCAAAATGAGCGTACGCATGGGTCAGAGCTGGCTGAGGGACCACACATTTTCACGTCAAGTTTGGATTTTATAAATCACAACCTTGGCGTGAAAAGTGGCGTACGCAAGTTTCTGGGCTCATATTGTGCGTACGTCAGTTTTATAAATCTGACCCCAGGACACCTTCAAAGGGAGGCATCCAAATCAGAGGAAGCACCTCAGCTTACTCCTTTCGATCCAGAGGAACAGCAGCTCTAAGGCTGAGCCTGGCCAACCTAAGATCATTTCAGCTGCTTGGATCCAGAATCTTGTTCTTTTGGTTCTGATCCAAACCTCATGACTACAAGTGAGGGTTGRAATGTAGACAAACAAGTAAATACAGGGCTTTACAAATATGCTAAATTCTTTTTTCAGCACCGCTGACTGGAGCAATGACCTCATTACTGAGGATGAAGATCAATGGATCTTTCTCCCACTCCATCCTACCATCACTCAGGAACATGACGCCCAGATACTTGAACTAATCCAACTTCAAAGAGCACCTAAAATACAGTCAACAATAGTTTGTCTCCTAGTGCTAAACAAAAAAAGCATGGATTCACTTCTTTGTTGTTGTTTTTATTAAAATAGAAAAGTGATCAAATCTGAGCTTAGATGAATCCATCCTACACTCTAAGCAAAGCAGAATAAAAAAATAAAAGATGTAAGAACTTGAAAAGCGTTGGTCCTTGAGGTGCCAGAGTTGAGTAAAAAAAAAAGAGAAAAGAATCCGGGGTGGAAACGGCACAGTCCCAGAGCTGCTGTTCGGCTCCATCTTGATAACAGCCTCCATGAAAGACAGGCGTGTTCCCTTCACTGTCCAGATCCTTATCTTAGTAATTGCGTTCCAGTCAGGAAGGAGCGCTACAGGAGCTGCCAGAGAGCTCTGCCTGCCACCCACTCCAGGACACAAGACCGGCTTCAATGGGACTCTGAAGTGCACTAGACTTTAGTCCGCTGCCAGGATAGGGACGTGGGCGTCCCTTTGTCCTACTTAACAAAAGGACGGATGAATGTTTAAACTTTATAGATGCTTTATCTAGTCATTYGGCAACTTCCTCAACAACTATAAATACCTTTATATTGCTTTGGGTTTCCCCACTTGGTTCATAAATCATCTCAACAAAAATATTGTTTGATAATCTAACAATCACAGGTGGACACGTTAAACAAAAAGTTGGTGTTTGCCACTTTTAAAATAATGTGCTGTGCTTGCATATTTCTCGCCATGCTCGAGGTTTGTGTTAGGAATGACTCAGTTACAAATTTTAGATGAATATTCATTAAACTGACTGATACATTTTTGCGATCGCTACAATTATTTAGCCACAACTCTAAAAGATGGAGAGTTCTTAATGAACAATGAATGATTAGTTTGTTTCTAAAGCTACGTTCACACTGCAGATCTTAAAGAGGACATATCCTGCTTTTAAATCCTAACTTTTCACATTTAAATGTTTCAGTTGGGGTCTATATAAAGTGGAACTGCTATGCTTTGGTCTGAATTGCTGATTATTGTAGCTCCACAAGCCCCCCTTTCATCTCTGTTCTGAGGTCCATCTGAGATCAACTCATTTTGGTGCTGTCTCTTTAAATTCAAATCACACCCCAGGTCTCACTTCCAATGACCACTGTCCACTCCACCCCACTGACAATTAGTTTGATAGCAAAGATATGATTATGTAGTGGTGCAGAAAACTTTTRTTAACAAATTGATTAAAAGATGTCAACAATGGAAAATGTGTCCATTCAGCCCCATATGTGGAGCCAGAGTCTGGCCCGGAGCCAGAGGAGAATGAAGACAACATCAATCACAAAATGTATTTAAGGGCTAAAAAGACAGTAGATTTTGAATCATATGTCTCCTTTAAAGCTCAGATCTGCTGGTTTTAGCTTTGTTAACGTTCTAAATTAAAGTGAATCTCCATCAGACTCAAACAGTCCTGAACCAGAAGACGTGACACCACACACAGCACACTGTGTTTACAGAAGGAAACATGGATGTTACATGTTAACATGTGTGGATCCATTATGAAGTTGTCGTCCAATCAGAACTGACTGACTGTTTATCCAATGTTTATATTTCATCTCGCTGCTTCCTGCCTACCCATGACTGAAAGTAGAAACAAACAAGTCTGAATCCAATCCGACAGGTTGGTATACCACCTTTAGCATCACATGCTGGTGTCTCAGTCATCAGGACATGATGAATTTTGAAAGTTTAAAAAAGACAAAGCAGCTGGACTTCTGTAGCAGAAAACGAACTGCAAGATGTCGGTATTGAYAATATCTACATATGGATTATTCCATATCTCCGTAACTCACTGACACATGAACATTTGGACTCTTTGAAAAACATCAGATATGATCCTTTGATGGAAAACACCTGAGTTAAGATAATCACATTCAACCATCATAAAATAATGGGACGTACAGTATTTGGGTGAACGTGGCCTAAAAGATTGATTCAAATTTGTCCATTGGTTCATGAAAGGTTTTGCAAACAAACCAACAAACACTTTCCATATTATTACCATAATATTTACCAAGTAGGAAAATGCAGACATAGCAGCAGCTGTTACAACAAGCTCACTGTAGTTCACAATGTCTTTCCTTAAGAATCAACACTCTCTTAAGTGTGCTTCTTTAAATGTTGTTAAATACATTGTTATACTTTTTAGGAAATGGAAAAAACTGACCGCAACTACCATCTTCTCCGGTCTATTTTGTGTTAGGGGGAGGAAAATAAAAAGCTTTTTAAAACCCCTCCCTCTGCGCTTTAAGATGTGATTGCCAACTCTGAATATTTCCATATCCAGACATTTATTTTTGTAAAATCTTGGGAGAATTCAACACGAGCAGACGAAGGTGACCTTCCAGAGACTGTGTGAAACTATCCAAAAGTTCCATTAATGTCAAAACTGGCAAAGCCTCATCTAACATCTTGCAGACAGACGGAAACAATGCGGCTTTGGTGGTTTTACAAGTGAAATTTTCACTTTTAGTCTTGGTGTATTTATGATGTAAGTTATGATTTCCAAACATCATCCTGGAAAGTCTGGCTTTCATTTTTTAACTTGCACTTTCTTAAAAAAAATAAAAACTTATCTGGACCAGTGCTGGTTTAGAACTTAAAGCAAAGGTTGTTTTGGCTCCTACAAATTTGTATGTGCTCTCAAACGCATGTGTGCACGTGCACACACACACACACACCCATTCTTGTATTTGCATCAAACAGAGGACTTTGTATTGGCTTCCATTTATTTTTGTAACTGTATTTATGCCTAACCCAGACATTTTCCCTAAAATTAACCATTACTGGTCTATTCCTAACTCTAACCTGAACCAAAACTTAATTCACACCATACGTATAAACCTAAGTAGTAAAGCACAGCAGAGCTGAAAACAAAGTGAGGACACTGAAGAGGTCCTGGCTTTACATCAAAGACCTCACTTTGGTAGTAACTATGGTGCAAATGGTCCTCAATCTGTAGTCAAAACAAGAACACACACACACACACACACACACACACACACACACACACACACACACACACACA